TCGCAGTAGGTGGTGGTAGATGATACCGGGAGGCGCTGCTGCCCGCCTTCCGTATAATCCCTCTGTCGGCTCCTACGACACCCACGGGAGGATATGGGGGGGTGCTACTCTTAGGCCGGCACCCCACGGCCACGGCAATTGTCGTATTGTTCTATCTTTAAAATAAGTAATTATATTTCATTAATATTTTGGATATCTAAATACCATTTTGGAGTCTATTTTTGTTGTAATTTTATAATTATAGTATAACTTTAATTATTAAAAAAATAATAAATAACAAAAGCTGATAACTTTAATCAATATAATTTATTTTTTATTTGAAAAATACATAGACAGACATCTATTTTCACATAAGGCAAGTATCCCCCGAAATATTTTTTACGCTAGGCTACTCCGACATACCAGGCAACTATCAACTTTTTTTTAGAGGTCAATTAAAACAGTATTTACTCAAAACTAATAATATCTATATTTAAAAAAATTGGCTAACGATGTTCAAGAATACACTTTGAATAAAGAATTAACTAGTATACATTTTTAATAAAAGAGTTTTTTTTTTAAAAGTGTGGCAACTATCCGTCTTTTACCCTATAGAGAGTGTTTGTTATTGATATACTGTGTTCTAATAAAGAACTTTGTGCTCTTAGTTACTATTATTCTGGAATAATAGTTTCCTACAGGATTGCTACTATGTACCTTTTTTTTAACGAGTTCCCGACATTACGGCGCTCTTGCAAGCGCCATAATCACAGATTAACTAAAGTCTTGCCGGCGGCCGAAAACTATCATTCTAATGTAAATTATTCTAGTTTGTATTAAGGAAGTTCAGATTTGAAAACATTGAAAATGTATTTTAAATTCTCAAATTAACTTATAGTTTATGATTTATAAATGAAAATAAGACAGCAATGCTATTAAATAACAATACGATTAAGTTTTAATGAAATTAAAATTATATATCAGATTTATTACAGATTTTTTATACTATCAAAAATTTATCTACGGATAACGTTAACAAGATCTATGGGGAGAGCTATCCAATTACTTGACAGTACTACGAGGCTTATCTTCTCAAGGTTAAAAATTAAATTAAATCGTGATCCCCCGAAAGAAAAATAAATATCCTGAAAAAATTAAACCTCAAAGCGAAATATCGCGATCAGAAATCACTTGAGTACGGCTTATTAGATTTTCGTTGGTAAAGGAAGATGAGCCACTTGAAAAGCTTTAGTGGTATGATCAAACAAAACTTTTCCATTACATAAACATAATATTGGGCTAGCAGTAACTGATGATTACTTTGAAAAAAAAAAATTAAGATTATATTTGATCAATTATGCATTCACAATGCGATACTGAAAAACATTCTAAATGAGAAATGCAGAAAAAAAAAACATTTTGTCCCTGGCACATAAGAAAAAAAAGCTATTTTAAAAAGCTTTATACCTATTATTTACTACTTTTCTCCATGGCGTAGGCAAAGTGTGATTCTTTTTAAATAAAATCTCTTGTATTTTCATTTAATGAATTTTTTGATGTAACTTAAGATAGCCTCAATATTATCGAAAACACGCTGGTGGTTAGAATCTTCACGCTATATGTCTGGCAAGGTAGGGAGAGAGAACTCAATGCCATTATATACGGTCCTTACGTACATCTTTCGCCTTATCCACTTTCATTACTCTTTTAATTGCACTAATAATATAAAGAAGGTAGTTATGTTACCAGATTATAACCAAATTATCAGTACCTCAGTACCCTGCCAAGCCAAAATACTGTATTTTTTTTTTAAATCACTATATAAACGGTAAACATATAGATCTTTTTTCATGTTTATATCTTATTTGAAATCTAATAAAGTGATTTTTTGCCTACAAAAAACCTTTGAAACGAAAGAATTGTTAAGGGGAATCTATAAGACGATTTACATTATTTTAGATTGGCATCGGCACTCTATTAAATATAATGTAAGACGAACTTCAGAGGGGGAGCTAGTGTTAAATATGGGGAATATAAAGGATAAAGAAGGATTGTCCACCTGAATACCAGTATTTTGTAATTTGGTTAGATAACCCTGTTAGAGCGCCATCTTGCATTTAAGTTAACTTGTATCCTGTAGTAGGCGTTGTTTAGCTCTTTATGATTCCTCCAATTCTTCGAATAAAACAACTCAATAAAGACATTAAAAATCATTTTCAAATGTCTTATAAATAAAACAAATAAATATATATTATTATAGAGCTATGTTACAATAATAAAACGAAGGCTTGCTACATTAAAAGGTGAATTGATCTATCAGTTTATCCATCTAATAAAAATCAGAGTACAAGTTGAATGTTAATATTATGAGGAATAAAATATACTATAAATGAACTGTTTTTAATTAAGCATATCATTCTTAGATTTATTGCGATTAAAACCTTTAAATTGACTTAATAAGTCTCACGGGGCTTAACATAAAGAGGGATATTATAGTAAATTACTAACGAAGTCCAAATAAACTGTAATTTATAATGAGAAAATTACGTTATATTTCTCACTTAAGATACTGGGATAAATTTGAATTTATAAAATTTTCTCTTCAAAATATTACAAACAATCTACATCTAATACTCAACAACATTTCATTTCATTACGTATTATTCTTTTGATTGTGGCTTAGGCCTGACACGGCTGATTTTATATTAAGTAAATATTTTCGACCACTTAATAAAAAAAATGCTTCTTGTTTTCGCTCAATATTTTCCTTATTTTAATAAATAAGGTAAACGCAGGTATTACCGAGGTAAAAACAAGGCTTTAAGGTTCAAATCTTCGAAATAGGAATTTCCGTTCGTAAAAACAGTTACTAGTATATATTTTCTGATACGTAGAGGTTTAAACATTTGGAATCTATAAATATGTCGATAGTTTTTGAGGAAATATGTAAAAAAAATAATATTAAACATAAAAATCTGGATGAAGCTATAACCGAGGTATGCTTAAGCGATTGCAGCTAATACCGTGATTCGTGATTCTATTACCGAGGGTAGAAAAATAATAGGCATGTTGGTTCCGTACAAAACCTTTAGTAAAACACTAATTATTGGCTATTCTAAGTTTCAATCAACAATTTTTTACTCTGATAAAGTTTTTTATCAAAATCACTACATTACAGACTTATTACCTACTACTATTATTATAATTGCACTTATTAATGGCACTATCACTTTTCATAGTCTTGATAATCTTAATAAATAATTATAATAAATACCTATTTAATAGAAATTATTTTTTTTTCTATAATCAACATATTATTTTGAACGAAATTGTTACGTAAAAATTAAATCCTGAATTAGAAAAATAGGTAGGTATAGGTTAAAGTAGGGTTTTGAATTCCACACTAGGTACTTATTTGTTTCTAGAGATCCCTAAACTCAAGAATAAGTGCTATTATCAATCGGTATTAGAATTCTATAGTGAAGTTAATACCGAGTAATAACACTCGGTGATAGCTTCGTGAACAACGTATTACCGATTGATAGCTTGTTTTCACCATCGGTGATAGCTTCATCCGCGATAGAGTGAATAATGTAATTCCAAGGGAATAAAATTGATTAAGTTTTAACAATACAAAAGTTTAAACGATGACTGATAAAGTTATCTATATATAAACAAGATTTTTGAATTAAGTACTTAGGTTTAAAATACAGACTGGGTTATAGTTTCATGTCTTATTAATTTAGTGCTCCCATACAAAGTTAATTTTTCATGGTTTAATTTAGGACAACAAAATAAGTGTTCTAATGCAATTTTCATACTACGGAAATTGTTTTTTATGATAATTACCTACTTATCTGAACGAATTACCAAACAATCTGTATTGCTTTTATATAGAATTTTGTTAAAAAAATAATAAAACTATTAGTAATCATTTATGCTATTACCGGGTATACTGCGGTCAATAAATTCAAGAAGATAATTGTGTAGCTATCACCACGGTATTTTATTTTTATTTATTGTCCAAAAATAATGCAAAATAAAGGAAAATAAATATTACAATAATGGCTGAAACTATAATTCACCTTGTGACCTAGTTTAAATCTGTAAATGTGGTTTCTTTTACGACTCTTCAATCCTAAGCAAATATTTTGTGCACTTACGTATGGTGACTTGCGTTTATACGGACCTCATGCTCTGGCACCGGCTGGACTCAAACTAATCGTTTTTTTATTTTTCCGATTTGTTGTGCATAGTGTGCCACATGTCCATTTAAACGAATATAAACTGATCTTTCATAAAAGTTTAACTTTTTGAGTAAAATATGCCTGCAATTGCCTAAAACTACAATTATATCATATACCTCGATGATACCTGCAGATTTTCGACTACCGCGGTAATACCTGCGCTTGCCTTATTTATTTATGGTCTGCGATTATTTAAGGCCACCGGTAAACATATTGTCAAATTGCAAATTGACACTTAAGCGGCTTAGTAGTTTTCGAGCAGAATACTCTGTGACAGACGGACAGACTGACATACAAATAACTATAAAACGGTTCCGTTTTTCCTTTTAAGATACATTGGAGGTTGTTGACTTTTTTCAATCAATGTTGTCATGCATCAATTTTATTTGAAATGGTACAGTTATTATTCAGATGAACGCATAATAATTGAAATATTAACCCTATTTATGTATTTTAAAAATAAAGTCATTAAAAAATATCATTGAAAATTTAAAAAATATTGTCTCCATCTCAACCATCAGTAAGCCTCCAAATTGGATTCGGTTTTGTTAACCGAAATGTTGAATAATTACACATAATTCATAATTGTTAGAAAATAAATTAGGTTAGATAAGGAGTTATAGAAAAGAAACAATTTCAATTCGATATAAAAATATATTTCTCAAATACTTTCAAAAAACAGGTACATACGTTGGATTGTGTACTAAATGTTTACAATGGTAAAAACGATAATAAAGGCATTAATTTGCATTATAAATGATAATTTAATAACATCTAAGAGGATTGTTCGGTTTTTTGTACACTTTCTTCTTGTACTATAACTACTTGTTTATTAGCTCGTCGCCTTGCGTGTGGACCCAGCCGACGAACAGGTTGAACGGTACCATCTTCAGACACCTGTGTTGTAGTATAAGGTGAGAGACAAAATAGGGTTAAGACATACACTTCGAAACAAAATTGCTATATTTGAATCACTTCGGCGTCACTACCTCATTAATAAGGTCTAAAATTTTGCTTAAGAGTAGCTCATTGGTGTGGTGGATGAGCGCTGCGGCTTGCGATCGTTGTTGTTAAGCAACTATCACAAGAGTACCGACTCTTGGGATTCACGGGATGGGTGACCAAAAAATTACTAAGGCAGTTTAAACCGATGGTCGCGGTTGCATTTGCTGTCGTTACCACCCTCCAGTTAGGTAAATTGAACGATGAACATCATTTCTCAGTAGACCCTCACAGCTCAAATGATTTAATATCTGTCAGTATGATAACAAAATAATGATTGTCTTTATAATATTTTTGAAAATATATTCGTCTCTTAATTTCTACTTTTTTTTTTAACGTAATGAGATGGTTATATTTTCCATTATTTGGAATCCTCTTAAGATTCTCTCATTAGAGAACTTACCCTGTTTAAAAAAGTAAAGACTTTTCAGTCTTAATAGCATCTCAGACATCTTAAATTATTTTGAAATCAAAAGAGGATATAAGAAGGGTTTTGAAACAAAGGCGACTTGATTCCTGTTACTTATTTGAGTACTGAATCTTTGAAGCATGCTTAGCGCTGCGAACTGTAGTCAATGGACTAGACTATAGCACGGTTGACGAAGAAAGAGAATTTTGTAAGTTGACCTTTGTGCTTACTACTTGATATCGTGAATGTTTTGGTTCACTATAGTTCCACAAAATTGGCTAGATGCATCTATGCGAGCTCAATAGCAGTATGTTCGCACATGAGTGAAATAGATGGGTTGTTCCGTATTGATCCTATGACGTCTCATCCTATGCATTATTTTTTCCTTACTCATCCTATTTTTGTTCGTCACTTAACCCACAACAATTTATTTTTATTTTGAATTCCTTGCTCATCCTATCAGTGTTGTTAGCTCATCCTAATTTCAAATCACTTAAAAAATGTAAGATTTTTGTAATGCCCGGATCATTGCATGTTCTTTTTTCGGCTTCCATACTATAGCGATAAGCACCAAATGGTAATAACAAGTTGCCTATGTTTCAAAGTCTTCCTTATTAAAAAACTTTTCATTTTAACAAGTTTTTTTAAGTGTATATGTGCAAGTGCCAGTTGCACACATAAGTGCCATGACAAATATGTATAAAGTGGTAAAAGGCGGTGTCCAATTGTTATTTGGTGCCATTTATTATTTCCAACCTACCCCTTTTTAAAGACACAATATTTAATGGATTCAAGCAATTTGGTTGTCTTACCGCGCTGGGTCTACTAGTCTTTGTTTTCATGTTTCTATTAATAATAATTTAATGATTATGGATTTATTGATGAATGAATAACACAAATTGCACTTAATTCTTAACTTCAGATAATTTCAATCTCTACCTAATTTCAAATTTTCATTTGGCAAGAGGAGTCTCTTATTTATCTGAAAACCAGATATTTTTAATAACCAAAAATATAAAAAGTAGAAAATACCTGAACAGATTTTCGCGCAGGAACATTGTTTTCTAAGAATTTGTTTACGGCTCCGAGAGTGTTAATCGGAATCTAAAAGAAGAAATAAATATTTCAATATGTAAGCCATTTTTTGGAGCTAAAGCAGAATGATTGGAATATTCTAAATTAAAATCAATAAATCAAAAGTACGTATCAATAATAATGGACGCTGATATAAATATTTGTATATTTCATACGATCATACTAGTGTTAAAGTTTTTATTTAATGTATATTTATATTTAATTATTTTCTAGATAGCAAAGATATACTAAGAACCAACTTTGTCTTTAAATGAGTTAAATTTTTAGTTTAATAAGAAATGCTTAAACGAATTTTCTGCAGATAGAAAATAAAGGGGAAATTAAAATATACAGTTACAATTATTTGTAGATCACTTACCCATATGCTGATTATAAAAAAAATACTTATATAAAGCAAAACAACAACAACACACGCACACACAAAACCTTTCCCAACTCAATTTTTAAAGCGAACCTTGTATTTACAAAATCTTTACCAGATTAGATAAGACACGCAACTGATCATAATGTATGTAAAGGGAAACGAGTGTAAACGTTTGTTCGGAAGAAATTAGGAATAGCTCAGTAAGCAGAACACTAGCACGGAAAGCGAGCTATCGTCGTTTTGAGTTCTGATTGGTATATGAGACAATTTATTCATTAGATATTATGATAATATTATAAACGTGAAACTAAGATATCTAGCAACTTCCATTCCCAGTCACCATCGATCAAAAAAGCACACAAATTCACATTTGTGTGCTATTTTTTACATTTGTGTGCGGGCGGAACACTGCCGGTCTTGCGTAGAGACCATAGTTTCTTAGATATCATAGTTTCACGGTTGTAGCAATGGACTTCCGCAAAATAAAACCCGATTCTATTAAACAAGATAATATTGTTAACGCAGAATTCCTAGTTATAAAAATGACTTAGTCGATTATTTAGTTTAAAATAAAACCTTGGTTATTATTTTTTTATATTGTAATAAAATAATGTTTATATTTATTTTGTTATTCGATAGGCTCTACTCATTTCCTTATGATCCATTTGTGGGTATAATAATTAAACGTAAAACTTAAAATTAAATTATTACAATACTATCACCTAAATGTTAAAGCACGCATAATGAATAGGTAAGCTATGATCAGTTAAATATGCCAAAATTAGCTGCTTCACCCGAAATATAACTTTAAAAGCAAGCGTACCTTCTCTCGTTAAGCATAATAAAATGCATGCCAAAATGAATGAAAGGAGTATTATCAAATGATTATGAACTTACAGCCAAAATATCGTCAATGACTTTTGAAACATCTGGAGTTTTAACAGAAAGATGAGTTTCTGAAGATGAAACAGATGATGCATCAGCATGCTTTGGTGAAGTCAAATCTGAGTCTGCAGCAGAGTTAAATAATGATTAGATATATTGCAGTATGATGTCAAAGAGAAAAATGATTGACAAATGACGAACAAAAGAATTATAACGAAAGGAATGCTAAGATTAATATAATTTATAAATATGAAGAATTTATAGAGGTCTTTGCGTTAAATGAATACTAGCAAAAAACGTAATAAAAGCTTCACATAAAAGTATCATTGGGGTTACGACGGATGCCAAGGGGAAGATTATGTTTCACAGTTTCCTCCAGCAGAGCTAACATGCCTTATCAGAGCTATAAAACTGCGGTAAATGTAAATAAGGATGGATACTGTTAAGACACTAACAAACTCATGTTTATATATAAAATACTGTTTATTATCATGAATAAGGGGTACTCAAAAAAAAAATCAGTACAAAATTTTATAATTAGTTATTTCAAAAATTAAAATCCATAACCACCTGCTTGAACCGATCCTGATTTCTGGACAGAAACGCTTGTGCTTCCAGCTGTGTTGCCAAGAAAATTGCCTACCGCTTTCAGTGTTGAAATGGGGATCTGGAAAATACACGTTACATGAAAAAAATTAATGTCATTCATTATTTTGTTTATTACATTATTAACGCCAAATATATTTTATTGTGAATAATAATGAAACAAAATCAAATCATATAATTAGCAACATTATTTTACACCATGTAACAGGTAGTCTATTTATTGTTTGATTGGCATTTTCTGTACTTTTATTTAACTTACATTAAAAATGTCGGCAAAGAAATTGGGATTTCTCTGGAAGGTAACTTTTTTCGTGTAAGCATTATTCCCGCTTCCCCCGATGCTAGTTTCGGCTGCTGCTCCTGCATTGACACTTGCATCAACACCAACATCGATCCTCTTTTGAATAGCTGGCGCAGATCCTGATACTTCAGTATTTTCATCAACAAAACCGAACCGATTGTGGAAAAGTTGGTGAGGTTTGTTGTGCTTGTGTACAATATGTTTTTCTACTACTTGCGGAGGTGACTGTACATATACCTAAAATAGATTTTAAATAAATAATAAATATTTTATTTTATTTATGGTTTTAGTATAGTAGAGTATAGTTTTTAAACACACACATTTATTGCGAGTCTTGAATCAGTGTCCTGTTCAAGTCTAAATGGGTATGATCGTGCTTTAAAAAAGTGACAAATAAAGTGTATATGTAGAAAATTATCTGGCTGTCCTGTGGCCAAAATATGGTGCACTTTTGTTTAATATTGTGATCAAGGACCAACCTGAGATTTTTTAAAGTTATTAGAGAAATGCGGAACCCATCGCGTTCTACTCCTGTAGTTTACTGGGTATGCTCTGAATCGGAAACTCAAATAATTGTTATTAGGAAAATTACTTCTATAGAATTTAGGTACACGTGTACTTACTTCCTTAACATCAGTTTTGACTGCAACATCTTTTTGCAAACCAATGTCAGACGCTAAAGGAACGAAATTAACTTCATTGGCGGCATCAAAATTAAATTCTTTATGAACCTTTTTGTGTTCCGTTTGAATTGGTTTTATATCCACGACGGAGGAATCCACTTGTCCTTTGTTTATTCCAAAAGATTTAGTCCCAGAAAAAGTGAATCCAGATGCTCCTGAACTTGATGTATCACCTCCCTGTAGAAAAACAACGTTTTGAAATTTGCTAAAGGAATTTTATTTTAAGAAGAAAGGCTAGTGAAAGAAAGCAATTAATAATATGCGTATGTGATGTGATTTATAATAGATATATGTGATTTATAATGATATGTGCTATAATAATTAAGTAAAATCATTTATTTACCTTTTGAATGCCAAACTGTACGTGACAGTTCGTTATTAGTTGCTAATTATAAAAAACATTCTTGAGGATAGTGTAATACAATATTCTTAAATATTACCGACACACATTTATTATATACAAAATTATGAGTATTAGTACATACAGAAATTTAGTACTATTAGTATAAAATACACTTATATCTAAGTCACGCCTCCACCAGTTAGTTGGTCAACGCTTCTAATCTTTTCTTTTGATCAGAACGTCTTCGTTTTACATCCTTTCTTCTTTTTCTTGTTGCTTTATCACCTACCATTCCTGACGCCGCGTAGTGGTTTCCAGCTTGTGCTGCCGCGAAGCCAGCTCCAGCTGATTTTTCTCCAAGTACTCCTCCAGCTAGACCGGTAGCAGCTTTCACATTTCCTCCTGCAGTGGCACTAGCGTACAATCCACCTATAATGCAATTAGTCTATTTTATTATATTTGATTAATTTTGCATTTAAAAACATTATTCTTAATATTTTTAATTTAATCTACTTTGTCCTGACACTGAAAGGTGGGACTCGAACACTCGACCTTTCTTAATCTGGGCGAATGTTCTAACCACTGAGGCACCCAGGACCTAATAGGACTATCGAAGTTTTCAAGCACTTGTTTTTTTTTCGCTACTACAGAGCGTATTTTCATAAATGTTCAAGAAATCCACCCAACCAGAAGAAATATATATTTTACAAATAATTAAACTTTCAATAAAGGTGAAAATTTGTTCTAATTATTATATTTGAGTCTGTCTTATCTCATGTTTTACGAATGAAAAAAATTTACTTATATTCAAACTTCAATTTTGATTCAAACTCCTCCTTAACCATTCATAAGGAAGGCTTGAGGCAGTACAGTGGGGACTAAAAAGGCTGACGAAGACGAGACAACAAACAATTATTATTAAAGACACTAGGGCTAGTGTATAAGGGAGTTATCCAATTTATGAAATCTTATAATCCAAATATACCCGCAGACTGGCCATTATCAACGGCGCCACCTAATCCTGCTTTGGCAGATTGTCCATGCGGCGTTCCAGCTTCTGCGAATAAACCACCACCTGCGCCTCCATTTTGTCCTGAAATCAGTGATTATATTACACTTTGATTTCAAAATTTATTGTATCATTGTAGGATTATTCTTGTAATATAAATTTATATTACCTACCATATATTTAAAGAATATGATAAGTAATCGATAATGGCAATAGATACAGTAGGCTAAAATGATCCATCGTTACAAGGCACATAGTTAATCTAAAACGATTGATATTAGGTGTGTGTGCTATATTTTAGTAGTATATTATAGTAGCTCGGTGGCGTAGTGTATAAGCGCCGCAGCCCGCGATCGTAGTCGTTAAGCAACTTTCGCAAAGGTCGGTCACGGGATGGGTGACCAAAAAATTATTATCTCGTTACTCCGTGCTTCGGAAGGCACGTTAAGCCGTTGGTCCCGGCTGCATTTGCAGTCGTTAATACCCTCCAATCCGCATTGGGCCAGCGTGGAGGGTCATGGCCCATCCTCTTTAACCATCCATAAGGAAGGCCTGAGCCCCTGCAGTGGGGACGTAAAAGGGCTGGTGGTGTGCTATATTTTACTTTAACTTTAATTGCGAAAAACATATTTATGATCACCAATTCAATCCTATTAAAATGTGATTAGAGAAAAGTCTAAAGATTTCGTGCCATTATTTTACTTTAATTAGCCATTCACGCCACAATCTGAACGACCTTTATTGCCAAGACCTAAACGTCCGCTTGTCGATGGTGACTGTAGATTCATTAAAATAAAATTGATTTTACTGGATAATCAAAAATATTTAAGAAATCACAAAATTCCTACTAAGTGTTGACGCTATACTCAATAGTACTCTTGGTGATATGAAAATTTAAAAAATTTCACCACTAAAAACCAAATACATTAAACTCTGTTTTAATTATAGAGCGAGTGTAGTAGGAAAAATTTTTTCCACCTTTATTTTTAGTATGACTACTATATTACCTAACAGTCCTCCGAGACCAACAGCAGCATGATATCCACCGAAGTTGACTCCTAATTTACCGTTGTCAAAAGTGATGAATTGTGGTGCCTGTAACAATAATATATATTTTTTAATAATATTATTCTGTAGATTAGGTTGCTCTTAGATTATTTCATTTCTCCTTTTGATAAACAGCAAGCGTTTTGTGACATTTAATTTTTTAATTATATTACTAACGAAAGTTGTCGAAGTCTGCTTTTTCAATGCTGCATTAATGTCATATCAATACCTCTAGATAAAAAAAAATGTGTTCAGGTAATATGTTGGGATATCTTTTATTTACTTCATATTATAGTTATAAATTTATACAACAATTTTACGGTAAGCACATTCAGTCGTATCTGCACAGAATAGTATCTACATATTGTTAATATTGCACGAAATTACTTTTCGTACTCATCGGTGTATCAATGTGAGCTATCAACCGTTTGGAAATACTATTGCGAATTGCGAAGTTTGATTGAAAAATGTTTTGTTCCTGTTCTTTTAGACAACTCTCAGAAACACAGTCAACGAAATTGTTCGTCATATTGATTTTCCATTTTTTAACTGTATTTCTAAGAGTTGTCTATAAGAACATGAACAAAACATTGTTCAATTAATAGATGGCCTGGAGTGTTTTAGTTCGGAATGGGTACAGTGAATGCAGTTCTAACGTTGAGGTAGAATTTTTCAAATTGCACTGTACCAGTTTTGGCTGTTCAATATTTTCGATATTTCACCAAAAAGGATATACTTGGAATTTGAATATTATTTTATCTACATTCAAGTTCTTATAAACAGACCTAGGGGGCTAGGGCTACATATTGAAATAACGTTGTGTATTATATAAGTCAATACAATGCGAAGAAATGTCAGCAGATACATTTATAGATAATTTAATAAGGAATGACGTATTTCTTGTGCATATTGGGTTAAATCAAATGTAATTATGCGTGCGTGTATTCGAGTACAATTTCAGCTAACAAAATGTAATACTCGTAAATATAAGTGATTCCGGATAATTGGGATAAGACGTATCTGAAATTTAACTCTATAATATAGATAATAAAAAACGAGAAGCTATATTAAAATTAGAAAGAGAAAACATATGTTTGTTTGCATTGAATGTGGTCCTGAACTACTAGACTGAGTTTAACAATTTTTTCATCAACGGGATGTATAGGTCAAATAAGCTGCAATTTACGAGAGTAAATCTAATAAATCTCTACAAATAAGTAAGTGGTTAAAAGAGAAAAATAAAAGGTCAGGCCAAACAGTTGCATAACTATTTTCAGTTTTTGGATCAAGTAGCTGAGTCACTTGCTCTAGTTCATATATGTACAATCCAGTAGATCAATTCTGCTAATGTTTGTTTTTGTAACTTCAGAAATTGAATCGAACCCGCGACATGAATGCGACTTGAATTTGTCCGGTTTTTTGGTTTCTACATTAACAACATTTTTACCCATGGTTTTTTCGGACTGTGTACTCGAAACAGAATTAGCTAAAATTTCCATTTTTTATAAACATCAAAGGGCTTATGAAATCATTTATTGATGAAAGCCGTTCGGATGAAACAGATCATCGAATATTCTATCCCTTGGCCTAATTTAAAATGTTGTAAATAAATTATAAAATTTAATTTTCAAACATAAGTTTGTGAACTTATTGGAGTGTAAAATATGGAACGTCAGATAGCTGTAATCTCTGCCATTTTGAGTTCCGGAAGAAGGAAATTTTATCGGCGTAAACGTGCAATGGCTTCATTGCTTGAATAAGGATGAATATTTCTATAACAATAGTTTTAGTATTATTAAAAGGAATTTGAATACAAAATGTTTTGAAGTCCATATACAAAGGGTAAAACGTATTACTAAGACTCCATTACCGGTCCGTCTGTCCGTCCGACTATCACCAGGATGTATCTTGTGAAACGAGATAAACAGTTTAAATTTCCACAGATGATATAGTGCGCGAATATAGTGCGCGACTCCTTACATGTCCGATTTTTTCATATACTGTGGTTACAATACTAATTTCATACGAGAGACAGTTTTTCCAAAACAAAAACATATACTCGTATCTATTAACGTCACTGATTCACATAAAGAAATCTTTTGGGTGGTATTCCAAACACGAAGATTGTTTGGTTATTACACATTCTGTTCAGTCATTCAAAGACAAAGGTTAGCAGATCAGACATATACCTACAAGACGTTAGTATGCGACTCAGTACGTGGGTCAAATAGGGCTCAGTTTAGATATGTCACAAACATATTTCGGCTGAACCTATATTATTTCTCATGATATACTCGTATATTAAATATCCATCTTAAGATATTTAATATTATCAGAAAGTAGCTCGGTGGTGTAGTGGATAAGCGCTGCTGTACGCGATCGCTGTCGTTAAGCAACTTTCGCAAGGGTCGGTCACGGGATGGGTGACCAAAAAATTATTATCTTGAGCTACTCCGTGCTTCGGAAGGCACGTTAAATCATTGGTCCCGGTTATTAGTTAAGACCTTAATACAAATAGTGAATTAACACCGTTAATATCACTTCATTACTTATGCGTACATCATACATAGAAGGTACGAAACTATTCATACATTTTTAGATTGTTAGCCTTATAGTTTTAATCATTATCATCAGCCTTTTTACGTCCCCACTGCAGGGGCTCAGGCCGTCCTTATGGATCGTTAAGGAGTATGGATCCATGACCCTCCTTAACTGCAAATGCAGCCGAGGCCAACGGCTTAACGTGCTTTCTGAAGCACGGAATAGCTCGGGATAATATTTTTTTTTGGTCACCCATCCCGTGACCTAACGAAAGTTGCTTAACAACAACGATCACGAGCCGAGGTGTGTATTCATTACGCCACCTAGCTATCCAATAAATGGTTTTAGTCACAGAATAGAAAATGTTTTAGTTTCGGCATTTTTTGTGTAAAAAAGAAATAGTTTGGAAAAAATATCTTTCATTCATAATCTTAATCATTATTATGATTTCTCGATTTTATAACTTCTTCAGCATTTAAATATACTACGTTGAAATTACTATATTTAAACTACAACAATGACAGGCTTCATATTTGTTTATTTTTATTTATAAATTCTAGCCTTTGTCACCCGCGTATGATGTAGCTACCTGTAGGTGAAAGAATTGATCAAATCCGTCCGGTAGTTCCGGTGCCAATTCGATGCAAACAATCAATGAATTATAAATCAATATAGAAATAATATGAATATTGAAATTATTTTCAAATACAAGCTTTTATTGTATTGTTTATGCTAAACTATAGGCTGCCTCGGAAAGTGTAAATTGTAAGCAAAAGACATACTTTAAAAACATATTTCGTTCTGAAAATCGTTGCGTCATGTGAGTACATCAAAGAGGGACGGGGAAAGGAAATAAAGTAGGGCTACATTACTTTCCTCCCTTGGTGGTTGGTACCGGATGATCTAACATCTAAGGGTGCTTCGTGGAAACATTAAACACGTGTAGGCATTTTGTGGGTGGTTCCAGATTTAGTAAAAAAAAAAAATCGTCAAATTTTTGATAATATAATGCGGATATTCAAATTCATTTATTAAGACATCGTGTAGGTGATAAGGTATAGTTATTGTTCCTTACAGGCTAACGCAGACGTAGTTTCCAATATCTAAGAAATTAATATTCTCTCAATTTATAACTTTTCGTCCAAATATTAACTAATTAATATCGCCTTTCCGGTGTTCAGACCGTCTTCACTCGACTCTCCAACTTGTTGCCGTGAAATTGTCTGGAAGATCTTCTTACAATTGGCATTATCTGATTAGTCAGTAGAAATAACGTTAAATGCTCTTTCAAAAAGTACATATAAGCAATACCAGAGTGGCCATAGATGTTAGATAAGGTTCTGTGGAAACCACCGTTACGACAAAGCCTCTGTACCAATATTGATAGAATTTTCATAGACCAATGATATTAAAAAAAATCTAAGGTAACGCTTGGAGACAACATGTAAGCTTAAATGGCTTAGAATAAAGCTGCTCATATGCTTTAGATCGAACTTCCAATAAAGCTAAGTTCGTTTGATCCACAAATATTCATTACCATCAGCAATAGTCACCACCATTATGCAAACGAGCAAATATTCTTATATATTATAAAACATCAGTTTTAGGAAATATAATGTATACAAAATATAGAGTGAAGTTAAATAGAAAATTCGACACATTTTGCTTATTGTGAATTTAGTTACTGGAAACCCTAAAATGTCGCATTCATTTATATTTAAGAACATGTCTCATGTTCATGTTATATACTAGTCGAAATTCGATTTAAACGTATAATTATCAATATTGTACTTCTTTATCTTCGTTGGCACGAGTTAGCTTGTTCGGTCTACGTTGCGGAAGTTAAGCAAGTTTCGCAAGGTTATAGGAAGGATGACCAAAAATGTATCATCTCGAGTGTCTTAGTGCTTCAAAAGGCACTGATAGTATTAGGTCCCGGTTGCATATGCAGTCGTTGACTGCCGCCTATATACACTGGGCCTGCGTGATGTATCATGGCTCTTTTTCCCCATTCGATATAATTCAATACACAGGGAAGATCTAGTTGGTATCTCGGTGGTTTAATGGATAAAATCTTGGTAACTGTTTGTTTACCCACATAAATAGAAAAAAAAAGCGTCACGGCATGTAAACGTTGTTGTTAAGCGATTCAGTCATGGGATGGGTGACCAAAAGAAAACTATAATCTCAAGCTTCTTCGTACTTCGGAAGGCACGTGAAGCCGTTGGTTCCGGCTACATTTGAAGTCGTCAATACCCTCAAATTCTCTTTGGGCCAGGGTTAAGGACGTAACGGGATGATGATGATTCTATATTCATATATGCCTAATTTTATACTTTTCCGTCTGTGCTATTTTCGAAAATCCATACTTTTTGCTTCAGGAAATTAATATTGAATATTTTAGTAATAAGAATTAACAATCAGCAAAGCGACATTTAAATCTTTAAAATGAACTCAAATAAGCTGACGTTGGCGCCTACTGAAAGTCAAAAAGAGCCGTGAAAGCG